TGCAAGTGACAAGGATTTTGGGGTGACCATGCCCATGCCCAGGGGAGACTCCCAGTAAGAGTCTGGACTGCCCAGTGAGAGTCTGAGGGGCAGGGATTGGGGAGCCTGGGTGGTTTACATGTGCCTCCTGCTGTAATACATTAGGAAAGGCATTACAGGGGGTAAACTGGTATTTGTCTTCCCCTACTGAAATCTGCAGGGAATGACACACGAGGCTCAACTTGCTTGAAAGCGCTGTCCGTGCAGACAAAAATGCACCGCACGGAAAAAAAAGCTCAGTTAAAATTTTCAGGTGCTCTACATTAATGCCCATGTCATCTACACATGCCCTTAAAGACTCACTAGTTCATAAAGGCATACATTTTCATAGGCAACAACCTGCTTCATCAGATGGTATGAAAGGACTGGCAAAAAGAGAGGATTTTATATAGAAGGGAAAGGGACAGGGAGCGGACACTTTTAAGGGAGGTGAAGAGTCAGTTGATAGGATCAATTGAGATGAATAAGATAGTTAACACCTTGACGAATACTGTAGTTAACAGCTTCAGTCCAGGTAGTGGGATAAGAAATTATATGTTGAGACCACAGTTCACAAAATTCACTCTGTAGGTGCTTGCTTGTTTTTCAATGTCATGTTCAAGTTACTTTTTTAAAGTCTTTTTGTTTAAGAACAGCTATTCTTCAGTCAATGATGTGATATCAGGGAAGTTAAAATGTTCTGCATAGGGTTTCTGCGTGTTCTGGAAACTAAGGTTGAATTGGTATCCATTCACTCTTTTACACAGGGATTGCCCTGTCTGGCCAATGTACACTGGAAACAGGTAATGACATGTATCAGGAGAAGCCAACCTCTCCACAATTCACTCACACCCCAATTTCCAGCAGCTCATCTGGGGGCAGGTATACATTGTTTGCAAGTTAATACAGTTTTACTAAAGTTGTCCAATACTTGCTGTAATAATATATTGTATTTGGTTGCGTATATCTTTGCTATCTTAATGGTTTGGGTTGAAATTTGGCATAGAAGGGTGTGTCTTTCTCAGGCTTTACTATTTTTGGATGGTTGTTTTTGTGAGGAAAACAAAACCCCAAAACAACAACACTCGCCCTCCCCACTGTTTTGTCCTAGTTAACAATCCTTGAAACATTTCCTGGAGATGCTCTACTATCCACATGGTTTGGAGCACAGATTTAACATTTGGCAGAGGAATGGCATTGCTGTGAAAATCCATGCACTTTTAGCTGAGGTATAGGCCCTTGCAAAATCTCAGTTCCTACAGGTTCTCAAGCAATTTGCTACATCTTCACAGCCTAATTTTCAGACATTTTGACAGTCCTGATCATGCTCCTACTTAAGGTAGGGCAGGCCTTTTTCAGTGATTCTGATTCACAGTTGTTTTGAGCTATGCAGATAGTTGAAGAAAATCCAAAATATTAGGGGAAGCCTGGGACAGGCTGGGCAGAGAAGACAAGAACCAGAGGAAAGGAGACTGGGATCTAATGACAATGAAGAACATGAATGGAGGGCTGATTGGAGCTTCTGGGGAAAAGAATCAGATGACAAGCCAAGATGCAAGGAAGGTGAATGAAATCAGAAGGGTAGCAATGACCTGGGTGCAAGAGTTTAATGGTTGAGTAAAAGAGTGGGACTGGAATTGAGTAGGGAATTGGAGAACTGTATTTAGGAGACTGGTGCTTGTTGAGCTGAGAGACCGGGATGAGAAGCCTTGTGACTAAAGATGAGGACTGCATAGGAGAGGAGCATGGGAATAAGACAAAAAAACACAGGAATGTGCAGAGACAGGATTGGGGCAGGCATGAAGCAATAGGAGAGAGGATGAAAAGATGAGCCTGAAACTGTAATAATATTCTTGTAATGAAGGGTTTCTGTGTGTAATTTCATATACTTCTATCACATGCTCTCCTTTTAATCTTCTTTTTGGGTTAACCATTCTGTTTCCATCTTTCTTAATAGAAGTTTTCCATGCCCTAACAGGTTCTCACCGTCTTCTTCTGAACCTGCTCTTCATTATTGGACCTTCTTCTTTACTAGCAAGAGAAACTAAGGATTGGATGCTCATAGGAAAGAAACTGAATTCCTACCTCTACTACAAGACAGGGCTAAAGCATGATGCTGCTTCAGGTTGCTGCTGTTTTATGGCTATGCTAATTTTCAGAGCCATGAGACATCTGAAGCTTCAACTGAAAGGCAATGCTTCTTTTGCTCAGCACTTCTGAAGAAAAAACACAGGAAAAAAAATCTCCTGTTCCATGTACAACTGATTTGCTGCTTAGATACCAAGGCTGTGAATTGTTTGAATGAAGAGGGTAAAGATACTGTTAGAAGCAACTTATAAAGTGCAACTCAATCACAAATTGAAGGCACTCTGAGTATTAAAAGCAATGGAGGGGGAGTAATTCCTTTTCAATTGTCAACATAAAAATCTCTCCTGAGTGATGTAAAGATCTGATGAAAGTTGAATATGTAATTGGACTCACGAATCTGGGCCCACAGTTGGGAAGTGGAAGTGGCAAGTTCATAACAATGATATGGAAGATTAATGAAAATATTTCACAAATGACAATTGTTTTTTCTTTCCTGTGTGTAATCTTATGCTTCAGCTCCATTTAAAGAGGCATTACTTAGGACATATCCATGAAAATTACGTATTATTTTTAAATGGCACACTATAAGGAAATTCTTTCATGAACCTTAATATTCTTTTACAGTATGAAACTTCAGATGAGCAGGGGTATGCCATTTGGACCTATGGTTGCAGGTTTGTGTAAAAAAGTGTAGCTAAGGAACATAAATCAAGTCATAATTATTTCACTTAAAAAATCTTAAACTTCATTGGAAGTCAGTGTATTTCTCTTTCAGTTGCTTTCTGGCACTAGTGCTGCATTTTTGTTTACCCAATGACAGTGCATACAGTAAACTGTCCATACAGTGCTGACATGAGTAGGGCCAAATGCCAACTGGTACTGTATACAATACAGTCCCTCTGGGACACGTTTACTAAATGAGCATGTTCCTAATTAAGGGTTCCTCTGTTAGGTTTAACTAGTTGATACTTTGCCATATAAATCAATAGTAATCTTTTCCACGTGAACCCTTTCTTTCTTCCTTTTTCTTTCTTTGTTTCTCTCTCTTTTCTTTT